TGAGTAGAACAGCTTCCATCCATTGAGGTTCAGGAGTGCAGAGCCTGGGCGTTTTGTTGACGAGAGTCCAGCAATGTCGAGTTGATACTTCACGGCCTCATCAACAAATTCTTGTTCTTTTCCTCTGAGTGAGGATAAGTTCGAATTTCCGACTTTAAGCTCCCACTGGTGGTATCGTTTTCGTGGAGCCTTTTGTGACGTGCTGTAATTACATCGCGCTGTCTGCCTCCTCCGTTCAGAAGGGATAGCGACTCCGTTGCTGACTGGTATTTTAGTCGTCGTTGCGTCGGTCTTCGTCAGCCGTCGTTGTGCTGCCACGCCCTCGGCTGGCAATGGGCAATGAGCAGGTTCTGATCGCCGACTTTTCGCAGTCCGCCTTAGTCCCCCAACAGGCTGCGTGGCCCTTTGTAACCCGGGCGATAACCGAGCCGGTATAATTTTCGGTGGCGTCAATACCATGAGTGGCAGGTGGCTGAATTTTACGGAGAGTTGCCACGGTCTCCAACCCTCCTCATTTCTCATCCGGGCTTGGGACCGGCCATGGCGGAGTTGGATTTGAATATATCTGCAAATATTTTATTAACTTGGCTTGTACAAAACCTGCTTAGTAAGGAACCGTGTTATCCGCTGACAATCCAGAAAAACTGTTCTCAATTATTGTTACGAGTTTCGTGAAGCATCGTAAATATATCAAATATATAATATCAAAGAATCAGTCTTGGTACAGCCTGACATGAACCCTTGCTCTTTCAAAACGTATTAGTGTGAAAACTGAAATATTTTTGCCGTGTCAATTAACAGAAATTGCCATTGTCTTGACAGGGTAACTTTAGTAAGCTGGACTGTGAAATGAACACTGAGTGAATGACCAACACGAATTTCAATGGACGAAATTGCGGAATGACCAATTTCAACGTCATTTATGCCACAAGAACCACACAAATTTACAAGAGTCTGTTTGGAACTGTACATTATGTCAACTGACCAATGAATAGAGGATGGCCTTGAATGAAAGTGAACTAATTTCATTCCAAAAGTTGAAGGCAGAGGATCTACGGTTAATAATTATTTAGAAAAGAAAATGCTCCTACAGCAAACAGCCCCAATCGTCATTTTCGCTAAATCACACGGAACAAGCAGCTCTGCTTAAGCGATTGTTTTCGATCTGTCACTAATTATTTCATATTCGTTTTCTGATTGATCGATAAACCTATTATTGCAGTAAATTTTTGTTACTTCCTGAGTATCTTATATGTGACAGTAGAGGCTGACATCGATTTCCACATATTTGTTTATCAGTGCTGATCTGAAAATTTTTCGCAAATGACCTAATTACCGAGGATAATCTGCCTTTGAGCTTTATTCGCTCAAATTCTTTAACGAACTTGCTGAAAAACGGTAGCCTTTTCCTTAAGGACTATGATTCTTTCTTTCAACGCCAACATCGATTTGTTTCGACAAAGCGTTAGAAATTTAACAAAACTCTTAGAAATCAAAAGTAAAATCTGCAACAGAATCATAAACGGAATTCGAAATGGTAGAAATCCGTCGAATGATGACCCGTGTGGCAAGTTTATTATTTTCCTTGTCTCCGACGCAAGAATATGTATAAATATTTTTTAAATCAGACTTACTCGCCGTCGGGAATGAATGTTTGAAGATGTATTAGGCATAATTTTATACGTCAGAGGCAGTTTATAACAAATTTATTTTTCCTTGTCGTCTCGTAATAAGTCGTGCTTTTCAATGTGTTTGCTTTTAAACAAGCGAGTTCTGTCCGCCAGTGAATCAATTTAAGAATTCAATCATTCAGCGCATTCATGTTCGCCTTAGCTCATGGCCAACTGAACCTCTTATGAATTCAGAGAAGCCAAAACCGCAAAATGTGTTATAAGCAACAGCGGTCGAAAAAGAACGTCTGGTCGAAGGTGATCGGCTTAGTCTGCCAGTGCGTGACTGGCCTGTCTTTGTTTATCACATTGCACATAAGCATGTGAGCGCGTACGATATACACTATGGGTAGGTAAGCACACTCCGCTTACATTGTCTGCCTGGACATTTCACTAGAAGAAAGCTTCGCGATCGGCACTTTAACCAACTTCGTGTTTTCTATATATCAGAGACAACAGTAACCCTACTGCAAGGCAGTCGAGCAAAGTCGGCTTCGGATGTAGTTGGCTTTGACCGCGGCAGATTAGAAGATATTTAAACGCATAAGCTTCATGTGGCTGAAATTCCACTCTCACTAGCAATGGACAGGAAACGGCAAATCTGTAACCGATGGAATGCCGATCTTTCTTAATACTGCATGATGGGCTAACTCTAGCACCATTGTTTTCATAAAGTTAATGGTGTGGGCACTGATCTACATTTTCATGTCATCATCCAGGAGTGACTTACTTCTCAAGGTAGAATCGACAGCAGCTATTCGATGGTCATAATATGCATTCCCCTGCTTCTTTCTCACTCATTTATCAGAGTGATACTCGATCAGCCTCGAAAAGAAGAAAGGTGAGCAACAATGATCGAGGCTAGAATCTAGAATCTTTTGGTTCTGAATCCGACGCTCCACTGGCTGAACAACCCCGGTCTGAAGCAATGTGCGGCAAATGCCTTGCTAAAGGTTATGCGTGATAAACACAAAGATTGCAGATCACGAGGTTCGAACTCGGCACCTTTGGAGGGTGATTTCGAAGCGGACCTCTTGCATGCTGCACCACGCCATATTAGAGCTCTGTTTTAAACGGATGATCGACAAGATGAATTTCTCCGTGTACATTTCTGCTAATTCTTTAAACTGCATGCCTTTAAGCTTATTGTAACCTAGTGACAATTTTCAAAAATGTAATTCGACAAATGGATATGAGGGATCGCTTGGTACGGTGAGATTTGTGCCCTTTTAACCGCTACAGCAGTCATGAAAACCTGTCGTGAATTCAGAAACGGTCTGCCAACGAGGCTCTGGCAGATTATTGTATAATCCTGACTGCTAGTGACAACCACTCACTGGTTGGGAAGCGACTGCTACTCTTTGGTCCGTCAGCAAATGGGCTCTCCTCCGTGAAAGCCAGAGCCTTTGATTCACAAATATGTATCTGCCATCATTAGAGCAACGTTGCTGCTTTATCGCATTCTACGTCTCTGTTTCTCCAATGTGATAGAATATGAAAGGACAATAAGACGAAGAAAAATTAACTGGGACTACTGCACCAGAGTTTCGCCCTCTAACTCGTCATTCTTCTAACTGCCCTCCTAGGTTGTTGTAATGATGACGCTCCTTTTTCGTGCCAAACTGCATGCCAGTTGCAGTTAGTGTCCGTTTATTTAATTCATCATTAGCCAGCGGCGTTATGTTCCGTTCGAGTTACCGTCGAATTAGCTGCTTTGCGACCACGGTGCAGAACTTCTCTTTAAGTTTCCTGCTTCTTTTCGCTTCTCAAGCGACGAGCTTCGTCATGAGGCGCCACAACTGCTGTCATGCTGTGACTGACAAGAGCAAAAACTCTCAGAGTTGCTGTTGCATTAGCGATGCACAACCGGCAGTGATGATCTACTAACATTGTAGAGGTGACCCAATTGACGCCGGTTAGATTACAAAGGAGTTGCAGCAGCAGAACTCTGTGACGAAACATCGTCGTGACCATCGTCGCTGAGTCAATCCCTATAGAGTGATCAGTGGAAAATGGTCAATTAGTATAATTATTAGTCGTCGTGGTTAAGTAATTACTGTCGCATCCCTAGGCAAAGAAATATGTGATAACGTTATTCAGCTGCGAACACTTTGTTGCCACGACATGCTCTCAACAGCTAAAGAAAGCTCTTGGTTTTTAACTACAGTAATGGAGGATGAAAGGTTCAAGTTCTCGATCGCGCTCGAAGACGACTGATCCAGAAAATAGTCAGGGTTCAAAATGAAAAGGACTTCACTTACTGAACAGTCCTGATGTCCAGTCTGCTGAGGTCACTTTCGAAGTTCCGCTTCCACTTCCTGATTCGCTGTTTTTCAACGTGGTAGAGTCCATTTCCATCGCATCTCTGAAGTTAAAGTTGACAGTCGATGCCGTTCCGTTCGCCTCCGACTGTTTCGACGAATCACCCGACTTCGGCTGGTGCGCGAAGGCGGCAGTGCTGACATCATGGGTGAGTTCTGCTTCCCTCACATCCGGACCTTCTTCTTTGCGACGCAGATGTTTCGATGCCGCCAAAAACATCCGTGAACTGCCCGAAGCGGAAAACGGTGGCTGAGTCTTGAAGTTAAACTTTCGACTGCAACAGCGGCGGAAGATGAGGTTTAGTCTGGTTGCTCTGCCTTTTGCCCCAAGTCTCCCGTCGTCACTCGGTCATGTTTCGCCACGCGAGTGCTGACTCTGACCGGCTTCTGCTTAGTCGATCGATCAGCAATGATGAATACGGAGAAAGACAGAGAGCGAGAGAGACAATGAGGCAATAGCGTTCTACTGAATCCGATCCAGCAGATGCGATGCCGCTTGATGACAGCTGACTTTTAGCAGCGATCTGCTGTCAGATCGGCAGCAAGTTTTGACTTTCGGCAGTATTCAGCATGGAAGTGCGTTTGACAGATAGAACTGTCTCGGGTGTGCGAATGTTTCCCATAGCAATTCCGCATAATTGCATTAATGTTATTATTTTCTGCTTTGAATTCTGCTTTCATGAGAACAAAATCAACATAAGCAACGTAGCGTTTGAATAAACGATTTAATTTCTCCTTAATTTAGTCTGTGTCGAAGTCCATCATTTCCCCATAACTCTCCAACCTTTAATGCATAAAATCAGCTGCACTGTCAACGTTTTTACCGATGCCACTTCTGGCGAATGGTTTGATTAGAGGGAAACCTTTTGATCAGTTGGTTAGCTGATATCACCAAAACTAGAAAACTTTCGCTTGGTGGGTTGTTTCTGAGATAACGCTGGGACTGTTTATCATTGGAGTTCCTGTTAACTTAGCAGATGCACACGTACATAATATCAGTTTAAAATTAATCCACGACTGTGCAATTTTCAAATTTAATCTATTATGCCTATATGACACTGAACTGTTTAGGTTTAAGTGTGGCTAATAACATATTTCCGCCTTTCGATTTCCCTTTTTGGTACTGCTGGTTCAGTGCATAAGGAGTACTAACTCTAGAAC